TTTTATATTCTAGTTTTGGTTCTAGGGGGTCGACTGTATTTATGTAATAATTTGTGATATTTTTAGATTGAAAATATAATTATTATTATTATAATTTTTAAATAAAAAATATTTTATATTGAATTGTTTAGAAATAGTTTTCAGGGAAAGTAAATACGAAAATGCCAGAGGAAAATTGATATTGAAATCCCAATCCAACACACGATTTCGAATTAATCTATAATATGATATTAGAACTTTTGATAACATTATCAAGAAAAATTGTAAATGAAAAAAATAGTTATCAATAAAATATAGTTTCAATATTAATTCGTAACGTAATTAAAGTTACACTAATGAATTATATTGGGAAATTATACAGATTAAAATAAACATACATTTTGTTTAATATAATCTGGTATTACATATATTTATTGCAATACTTTTTAAGTGTGTTATAATTCGGCAGGATATTATGTTGTAATTATTATTATCATATAAGAAGTAACGATTGAAGATGAAAACATACATTTAGACAGCAGACAATTAATATATTTAATATATCGTTGATTAGAAAAGCAGTCAAAGCAACTTAATATGTATTATTAATAATGTTTGTTTTCTGGTTGATAATTGTAGAAAAAGTCTAATTAAATAATTATATTTATAAATTAACATTATTTTATATTTTATTAAAAAATCTTTAACAAATTACTTTCAAAATACTTCGAAATAATTTTATTTAGGCTGTAAGAAACGAAGTTTTTCTTTTATTTTTCTTCTTTTTTTAATATAGGCTATATATATATATATATATATATAGGTTAAGCTTCAAAGTTTAACATTTATCATTATGAAAAATCAAAATTTAAGAAGTTGGAGGGACGAATATTAATCAATCAAAATTAACTTTAACTGCAATCTTTACCCTTCAGATGTTTTTAATCCTTATCTTTAGATTTTGTTTATTATTAGATTTGCAATCAAGTTATTGTGAATATAAATTAAAAGACGTTTATTCTTTTTCTTTTTTTAATTTTAGAATCAAACATGGAAGGAAGTAGTGCGACATTCGGAGTAGTTGACTACATAGTATTTGCAGCCATGTTAATAGTTTCGGCTGCTGTAGGAGTATATTTTCAATTTACTGGAGGAAAACAAAGGACTACGGAAGAAATTATTTTAGGAGATAAGAAAATGTCTGTTATGCCTGTTGCTTTTTCTTTAATGGCGAGTTTCGCTTCGGCTATTGGAATGTTAGGTTTCTCTGCAGAAAATTATCTGTTCGGATTTCATTTAGCATTATTTTCTATTGTAACTTTTATAAGTACTTTTATTATTATATATGTTTATCATCCGGTATTTTATAATATGCAAATCACTACTGTTTATGAGGTAAGTATGTAAAGAGTATGTTTCGTAATAAAGTATTATAAGCCTACCTTGATTTTGATATTACATAACAATTATATAGTATTTAGATAGAAGATTTGGTAAACCAACAAGAATTATAGGTTCATTAGCCTTTATGTTTCGAATGGTGAGTATAATTATTGTTATAAGTAATTAAAATAATTCATTTAAAAAAAAAAAGTTAAATGTTTTTAGATATTTTATATGGCTGTAGTTTTATATGCCCCAGCATTAGCGATGAGTGCAGTTACGGGAATATCTATGTGGGCGTCTATCTTATCCGTTGGAATAGTTTGCACTTTTTATTGCACTATTGTAAGTTCTATTTTCCCTCACTTAATTATTCATTTTTGTAAACTCATATATTTATATATTAATAACGTATGAATAATAATTGAAGGGAGGTATAAAAGCTGTACTATGGACTGATCTCATACAAGGACTTATCATGTATGCGACTATGATTACAGTTATTGTAAAAGGTTCTCTTGATGTTGGTGGAATTACAAATGTTTGGAAGATTGCAACCGAAGGTGGACGAACTGAAATGGCCAGGTTATATTAGTATTTCGAAGCAAAAAAAGTAATAAATCCGAGAATATAAACATATTTATAAAATGTTTATATATTACAGTTTCACGGCAGATCCAACTGTTAGATATACATTTTGGTCTATATTTATTGGAGGAATCTCTTTCCATTTAGCTACTAATGCCGTTACACAGACCCAAGTACAAAGAATGATGACTTTAGACTCCATTAAAAAGTCAAGAAGGTGAGAAGATCACTTAATAGGAAATAATGTATATATACTTTGCATAACTTAATTTCTTTAAATATTTTAAGAGCGATATGGGCAAGTGTTCCTTTAAAGACGATTCATACTCTATTTACTTGTTTTTGTGGAGTAATTTTATATTCTAGTTTTGGTTCTTGTGACCCTCTTTTGAACAAAAAAGAAACAAAATTATCATCTTACGATCAGGTAATTTATAAAATTATCAATCTAAGTTATAAAAAGTAATTCATAAGTATATTGTTAATTTAACTTTATCCTATTTTTTTAAGTTGCTGCCATATTTTATCATGAAATCGTTGGGTAAATTTCCCGGATTACCCGGATTATGCATTGCTGGATTATTTAGTGCTTCTCTTAGTACATTGTCATCAGTAATAAATTCTTTGGCTGCCGTAACACTCGAAGACTTCATTCGCCCTAATTGTTGTTTACAATCCATGACAGAATCCAGAGCTGCATTTATAACAAAGATGTTAGGTAAGCATCGAGACGATATATATTTTTTATTATTAGTAAATTACTTGATTGCTTACTGTTCTTTCAATTAGTTGTATGTCCTTCGGAATTAGCACAAAGTTGCTGTTGTGAACAAATCACACAGGAACACTCCTTTTTGATAGATAAAGTATGTTTATTTTCTGTAATTTAGAAAGGATATGCATTTCGGGTTTTATGCCCCTCTTCAGTCCTTATTTTATTAAATATGTCGTCAAAAATTATGTAAGAAACTACAGAATGTATTAAATTATATTTAAAATACGCGTATAATTTTTTAAAATTGTAATTACCTAAAAATTATTTATTATAGTGGCAGCTGGAATAACTAATTATTAAAATCGTGTGGTAAAATAAGTAAAACTGGAATATATTTAAAATAAAAATAAAAAATAAATATAATAAAATGTTGTAAAAAATAATAAGAGGGTATACCTGTAAAAGTAAATATATTTTCGTTAAAATGTATTAAAAATTCGACTATCATTTTTAAGATAGTAAAACGTAAAAACATTAAAACCAATTAAAACTGGTTAAAAATAAGGTGTTAAACATTCACTGTATGTTTATCAGAAAGTCTGATATTTTGTACGATACAGTGAATTAAAATGAGGTTGGGGAAGGGGAGGAAGAACATCTTAAAATGATTTCTTTTATTTTGTTAGTGATGGCTGATGACAACGCGTAAGGACGCGTTGTCATCAGTGTCAATAATGATAACGCGTAAACACGCGTTCTCACAATATTAGCGAGGTTGCGGCCGAAGTTTTCATCTTTAAAACGTGAACGTCGAACGTCGAGCGCCGCTTCTTGTAAGCGGCGCTGGACGTTCGACATTCATGTTTTAAACATGAAAACTTCGGCCGCAACCTCTCTATTAAAATAAACGAAATTCATTGTGAATACATTCCACTATACCTTTAAAATGTAGTCTACTTTTGGTTAGTTCTCTTTAAAATTTTTTACATCAATCCTGAAGAAGGTCTATGAATTAGACCGAAAACGTTAGAGAACTAACCAAAAGTAGACTGCATTTTAAAGGTATAGTGGAATGTAGTAANATGTATTAAATTATATTTAAAATACGCGTATAATTTTTTAAAATTGTAATTACCTAAAAATTATTTATTATAGTGGCAGCTGGAATAACTAATTATTAAAATCGTGTGGTAAAATAAGTAAAACTGGAATATATTTAAAATAAAAATAAAAAATAAATATAATAAAATGTTGTAAAAAATAATAAGAGGGTATACCTGTAAAAGTAAATATATTTTCGTTAAAATGTATTAAAAATTCGACTATCATTTTTAAGATAGTAAAACGTAAAAACATTAAAACCAATTAAAACTGGTTAAAAATAAGGTGTTAAACATTCACTGTATGTTTATCAGAAAGTCTGATATTTTGTACGATACAGTGAATTAAAATGAGGTTGGGGAAGGGGAGGAAGAACATCTTAAAATGATTTCTTTTATTTTGTTAGTGATGGCTGATGACAACGCGTAAGGACGCGTTGTCATCAGTGTCAATAATGATAACGCGTAAACACGCGTTCTCACAATATTAGCGAGGTTGCGGCCGAAGTTTTCATGTTTAAAACGTGAACGTCGAACGTCGAGCGCCGCTTCTTGTAAGCGGCGCTGGACGTTCGACATTCATGTTTTAAACATGAAAACTTCGGCCGCAACCTCTCTATTAAAATAAACGAAATTCATTGTGAATACATTCCACTATACCTTTAAAATGTAGTCTACTTTTGGTTAGTTCTCTTTAAAATTTTTTACATCAATCCTGAAGAAGGTCTATGAATTAGACCGAAAACGTTAGAGAACTAACCAAAAGTAGACTGCATTTTAAAGGTATAGTGGAATGTAGTAATTAATAATGCAGTTAGAGATTTAATAATTCATTGTGAATTTCGTTTATTTTAATAATCTCAATGTGTTCAAAAAATTTTATTTTTTTAAAAGAATTTTGACGTTGTCGAGTGGCATAATTGTAATGTGTGGCGACTGTTGAGTTGGTATAATCATACGTCACAGCTTTTATATACAGTAGAGCGTCGATTATCCGAAAGTCAATCATCCGAAAGAATTCCAGTCGGCAAATTTAAATTTTCGCCAGTGCTGTGGCGCTGCAATCTTTGGCTATGTCTTGGTCTACTCAAATATTTTACGTTTTTGATACTAAATTAACTTCTGAAGAATAATTTTTTATTGTTTTTATATTTTTCAATATATTTATTTTGTTTGTACAAAATAAAAAAAAATAATTTTTAACGATACAATAGTCTTCGTTAGGCATAACATCGAAGAAAATTCAACGCGAAGCGACACGCAACGGAGAAAAATGTCAAGATGGGATAAATTAATATATTTTTTCGTGCATAATCGATTATCCGAAACATCGATCTTCCGAACAACCCCAGTTCCCAATTGATTCGGATAATCGACGCTGTACTGTACTCTCTTATTCGAATTTTTAACATTCTACCCGTTTCACCTAAGTGATAGTATTTTAGTTAACACGTACTGTACAAGTGAAGCTATAAATCAAATTATTATTTAACAAAACATTCATTTTAGTATTACTGTAATTTGTTCTTTGATTCTTAAGAAATTTTTGATTTTGTTATTCAGTGTGGGGGGCTAGAATGGTATTATGTGGTGTTAATATTTTTTGAATATTCTCAAAAATTATCGGGGTATAAGCTAGTTTTCTATAAATTATTTGTGTTTTAGGTATCGGTTGTTTTATTGTCTGGTTAGGTAGCCATTTGTTGGAGTAGTTATTTAATTGAAAAATACGGTATATGTGCTCTATTTCTATGTTTTGGTCTTTTATATCACTTGTACGTAATTTAATTTTGTTTACATACATATCGAATATGTTCTTTTTAATATACATAGGTATGCTGGAATAGAAATTGATTACTTTTCCGACGTCACATGGTTTAATGTATTTTTTAAAAGTTTATTATATCTTTTTCATATCTATAAAATTTAACTTACCATCAGTTTCATTTTCTATTTCAAAAAACTGGTCATAACCAGTTTATTGAAAATAAATAACCAGTTTATTGTTTATAGTTATATACAGTTATATAGTTATTAATAATAAACTGGTTAGAAGCAGTTTATTGAAAACCTCCAAAACCTTAGTGTAAATAAAGATATTAGAATGTTGAGCCTGGATATAAAAAATATGTACCCTTCTATCCATAAAAAGTTTATAATAGATACATTACATAGTTTATTTGCAATAGTATTTTTTTAAAAACAATTAGAAGGCATATTTATGGGCTCTTGCATCGGTCCAACACTTGCTGAACTTTCCATGATAAAAGTTGACGATATTATCAAAACACTTCTTGGTGTAATTTTTTTATAATCGTTATGTTGACGACTGCTTTGTTGTTTATAACATGAAATTAACCGACCCCCAAACCATATTTCACCACGCCAACATTATTCATAACAATATATGCTTTAAAACAGAGTACTTATTTATAATTAAATATACTTACTTTTTAATATATTTCAGTTTTACTTATTTATCACACGGTTTTAATAATTAGTTATTCCAGCTGTCTCTATAACAATTTTTTAGGTAATTACAATTTTAAAAAATTATACGCGTATGTTAAATATAATTTAATACATTCTGTAGTTTCTTACATAGTTTTTGCCGATATATTTAATAAAATAAAGACTGAAGAGTGGGCATAAAGCCCAAAATGCATATCTTTTCTAAATTACAAAAAATAAACCTACTTTTTTCTGTCAGAAAGGAGTGTTTATGTGTGATTTGTTCTCCACAGCAACTTTTTGCTAATTCCGAAAGACATATTTAGTAAATTATTTGTTGAACTTACTAATTCCATATTACATTATTCCAGCTCTAGCATTTGGAATATTGTGTATCTTACTCAGCTATATGGTAGAAAAACTGGGAGGTCTTATGGAAGCAACTATTACGATATCGGGAGTGCTTGGAGGACCAATGCTTGGGCTTTTCACCTTAGGGATGTTGTTTGAAAGACCAAATCAAAAGGTATTCGACATTGATTAATCTAGAAAAACAATCAGATAATTTTTTTATCTGATATTTAAATCTAACAAAACGTTGATAACAACTAAGAAATAGCTATTAGAATTAAAATGAAATGCAATAAAACTTCAAAATTTAGTAAAGCCGAATTGTCATAATTTCAAAGAGAAACTTATTATTAATATTGAAAATAGGTTAAAAATATTAACATCTAGTCAAAACTCGATAGTAACTTAAACAATTGTAAAATTTTCAACGGCTTATCTAATACGAAATATAAAGAAGAAAGTATTGTCTGCTAGTGCTTAATAAGTACATAAACTTCTGTTTGTTTGCCTTAATCGATTGATGATAAAGTTTATTGTGTCTAATAAAACAAATTTTGTTATATTCGAAGAATAGAAATTGATTTTGAAATAATTCTTAATACTAAAATTGTCAAGTAATTTTTTAAATTATATTATAGGCCATTATCAACGCTTTAATACTTATAGCTCTATATCAATTTTAATAAATAATTATTTTTGTAAACGTAATAACATAGCAAAATATCGATGTATAGTCTATATTTTACATTTTGAATTTAAGAATATTTAATAGGTAAAAAATATAGATAAATAAATCACAGAAACAACTTAAAATTAATTATATTTTTTCATTCAAAGGAAAAGTTTCAAAGTATAGGTTTTTCCCAAAATTACAATAGCAGAGTGAATAAAAGCACTTGGTAGTCACTCTTTGCCAACGGGCTGAGTACTGCAGGGCTGTCTTAACATAGGTCAGTGGGCAAAGCGGTGCAATAATCCCTGCCTACACGACCGGTGGTTGATCGGAAATTAGTGTTAAATTCGGTCTGTGCATAAATTAGGTGGGCCTCCAGCAATTGCCCGGCGTACTCATGCGTTAAGACGGCACTGGCCATGTAGAGTTTTTCGGAGTATTCTTCGCGTTTATAGTACTTAAATAGGGACCATTTTACTATAGAAAGTCCTTCGTTGAGACATCTTTCTTCGGCAGATTGCCCGCGAGTCGCGTTGCCGTATACAAACGACAAAAATTTTCCCAAAATTTTTTCTGGATACGTTGATTTGATGTTTTATAATTAAAAAAAACGAATGCCATATATAATAAATACAGTACTGAAAAATCAAACTTCATATTTCAGTCGCAAGCATGAAATAAAATAATAAATCCTCAAGCGAACAGTAAAAATTAATGTTGGTAACAATGTAGAATGTAGTGTAATTTCATTTTTTAACATTTACAGGTGTGTTTTATTGTAAACAGATTACACAGATTGAGTGTCGTCTCAATCTATGTAGTCTGTCGGAAGTGCGATAATTATATTTTGATGGCTGAGGCGATTCGGAGTGGTTGGCTGACATCTCAGCCTACCTCTCAAGGAAACTCGGAATCGAATCCAGGCGATATAACCCCAGGACTTTTTTCATGGGTAATAACTCCCGGATAAGCCGAGTCCTATGGAAAAAGGGTTCTCTTACTGTCTACAGAGCAGAAAAGACAAAAACAAAAAATAAAAATGGTATCCAGTGGTCTGCATGTCACGATATATTTATTATATGTGTACAATATACATAACTACGGAAACTTCTTGCTGTTTTGTTTTAAGGCATATGCTAATAAGCCTAATAAGCCGTTAGAAATTACATGAAATGCCTACTTTCAGTAGACAGATGCTGAAATACAGTACACATCTATTTCAATGTCTGCAGAAACCAGGTTACATTTTCAAATCCTTCAATGTCTGCAAAAATTATTACACTTGTGGTTCGATTGCATACCAGATAGGTCCACCAGAGTTTCTTAAAATTTCTACTCCAGTAATCTGTAAAAATGTTTAGAGGTTTTCCGTGTCTAGAGTTCTTGTTGTACTTGTTGTTTGTAAGTCCGAACGCCAAGCATGCAATTGTAATCACTTTATTATCGTCCTTACGTTCTCACTAACGTTTCATTCGATGGTGCGTAACTTTTTTGTCTTTAAGTATATAATATAATATTTAATTTTGCATATCATTTTTACATATAGGCCCTATATCACACTATCTTGATTTTTTAAATAAAAATATAATTTATATTTAAAAAGTAATCATATTCAATATTAACAAAAAAATATAGTTGTGCAGTAATCGAATGTTTTTCTTTTGTTTTAAATTAAAATTTATTTAGATAGTAATTGAAAAAAAAAAAACTTAATGTCAGTCAAAAACTAAAAATTAATTTAAATATTATTAATATAAATGCAAGTGATATGAGATAAGGACAAAACGAACCCAACGAACTTACTTATCTACAAAGGTAAATGAGCATAAATTTTAGAATAATAACAAATTATATCATAAGAAATGTCGATTAAAGATAGAATTGTCCTTATTTGTAACAAGCACAGCTCTATTTTGAAGTAATCATTAAGAAATTTCGTTATCTTCAAATGTGATGGAAATTTCCACTTTAGAATGTAGGCCTATAAAAAGTATAATTTAATTTTTTAGTTCTATCAAAAATGTTATCGAAAAGGATTTAATTATAAAAAAAATTTACAAATCATATATTATTCGATTTTGTTTATAAATTTTAAATAATTTTTCATATTCGAAGAAATATAATTGTACTCAATATATTGATGAATTCATGTTTTTGTAAACCAAAACATAAATTAAAACTATAATACAATTGTAAAGACAAATTTTTAAACTTTCTTTAAACATTCGTACCATTTATAAATACTGTAAGTTAGCTGATTAAATAGTCTAATCCAATTATCTTTCGACAACAGTGTTCGTCACTTTGATATTAAGTTCGATTTCCTGCGAAAATATCAAGGACGTAACAAAATTGATAAAGAAAAGCTCATTAAAATTTAGATAATTTAATTTTTTCATAAACAGACTTATGCGATTTACATAAATTAAAATAATGATAAACAATCATCATCTTAATCGTATACATTGTTATTTCACAGTCCGATCGTAAATCGTGAAATAAAATAAATTATTTATAATGTAATATTACAATAATTAAATTTTAAACTTTATAAACTTCAGTCGACCCCCCTACACTGTTGATTATTCCGTTTTATATGAATTCCATGTTGTACGAGTCACTTAGATTTTACAAATACGTGAGCCGTTCGGAGCCCGGCACACGTATTTGTAAAATCTAAGTGACTCGTACAACATGGAATTCATATAAAACGGAATTATCAACAGTGCTATAGGGGTGTAGACTGTATTAGTAAATCATTAAATTAAAAATGTTTATTATTTAATTAATAAATATAATTTTTTTTTAAATCTATTTTTCAGGGTGCTATATCAGGTCTGTTAATATCTTTAGCATTTTGCTTTTGGATTAGTTTTGGCACAAGAACTTCAAAATTCAAGAGTATCAAATTGCCCTTATCACTTTCTGGATGTCCTAATTCTTCATATGTTTTCGAAAACGGAACAAATTACGCACTTATTTCTAAAAATAATCAAACTTTTATAATTGACGATGTTGATAACAGGTAATTAATAATATTATCTAAAGCAAGAGAATGTTATAGAAGAATTAATACTTATATAATTTTTTAAATTCATATATCAGTGACGTATTTCCTCTATACAAACTTTCATACATGTGGTATTCGGTAACTGGTTGCGTGTCCACTATTTTATTAGGATATATAATCAGCTTATTCACAGGTAAAAAAAAATGTTTAAATAGGTATTTTTTTAACTACGTACGTATAATTTCAATTGTTGTATGTAAAATTTTCTATTTTAGGTCCGAATAAAGAGATAGAACCAGAATTATTAAGTCCCGTAGTAATATGGGGTAGTAGACATAAATCTAATAATATTAAGAAAGTAAGTTTTTTTTTACAGTTTTTAAAATAATTTATTTAATATATATCTTAACTCAATATAATATTTTCGTTAGAAGATTTCTTCTAAAGGAGCTACTAATGAAAATTATGACAGCAACGGAGAAGTTTTGAAAGAAAAGAAAAATGCAAACGAAGATAAATCACCAAGTTGTTATGTTATTAGTTCGTCAACTACAGGACTTTATTCGGAAGATAAAAACAATTCCACAAGTAATTATGCGGGAGATATAGCAAATCCTTCGTACGACGATAAAACAATCACAACTGTTCTGTAACGATATTGTGAATAGATCTTCCGCAAAGATACACTCAATTTAAGTATAAATGTAAATTAGAATTAAATTCAAATTAAACACGAATGTTTGATTTGAAATTAATATAATTTACATTTAGAATTGAACTGAATAAAAGTTTCGAATGAATGCAAAAAACATTTTCTTTCGCAAGTGATAGGCTAAGTTACGTGTAGAATAAATTTTAAAATATTTTAAATAATTACAAATTAATAAGATAATGATATCTATCGTTATATTCAAGCAACGGACGTCGAATTTATGTAATTTACACTTCGAAATATTCTACTTGAATTGCTGAATTGTGACCTAAATCAAATACAAGTAGACCCCCTATAACACTGTAGATAATTCCGTGTTATATGAATTCCATGTTATACGATTCATTTAGATTTTACAAATACGTGAGCCGTTCACAGCCCGGCACACGTATTTGTAAAATCTAAGTGACTCGTACAACACGGAATTATCTACAGTGTTATATGGGGTCTACTTGTACAGATGAATCTCCCAATAATGGCCATCTCTAAGCGGAGTCATTTAAAATTCAGGAACATTGAAATGAATACAAAATAATCTTTAAACAATAGCCATTTTTTTTATTATTATTTTCATCAGTAGCCTTCGTATGTTCAGAGATTTTAATGTATTCTGGTTTTCTGTATTCATAAATGAATGTACTGTAGCAAGTATATCTACAGATACTAATTTTTGCATATAAATGTACGAAAATGTATACAAAATTACCTCCAAAAAAAGGCCATCTTTTATGTTCCCTTTAGTAGCCATTGTTCAGAGATTTCACTCTAATTGAATATACAGTAATTCTAACAGTATAAAGGTAACAAAGATAATCTCCTGTTTATTATTACTTTTTTTAATAAAAAGAATAAAATTAGTTTTTGTTCAATTTTAATGAACATTGGTATAGAATTACTTCATAAATCACTTTGTGTCGTTTTCATTTACAGGTATTAAGTGCTTTTGATTATGGACTTCGATAATTGAAAGAAAATTGTAAAAGGAGAAACAAACAAAAAAAAAACAAATACCTGTAATAGCAAATATAAATTGAGGATATAAATTGATTATTAATGCAGTAGAAATTTTGTTTTGATTCAAAAATAAATTTCTATAAAATAGAAAGTACAGTACATCGAAAAATTGTTTTCCCATGTTACAGTTTTCTGTTTGTAGCAATTACTCGATTGATGTTTTATTTTTTGTGGAGTCAATAGTTTGTCACAATCAATTCTCTTCAATTTTAGAGGACTCTAAGTGATTCTCTAACTCGGAAAATTCTTAGCTTGCTTTAATACTTACCAGGACCGAGAAGATAAAACCGCTGAATAATGGTAGTTGGTCGCGGGTTCGCGCCTCATCAACGCGGGGTCATCCTAGTTTTTTTGTCACGTATGTTATACCTGTTTCCTGTAGAAAGTCTCCCGAGTGGCATCCTTCTTGGCAGATCGTCACGTGTTGCGTTTTTATACCTTAACATGCTTTAAATTTTTATTCTTTAAATGTGTTAATTAAAATATTATATTACAGGTTTTATTATTTAATTAAACAACATTATCTTCTAATTAACATAAGAAATTATTCAGATAATTCAGTAATGTGCTGGAATATCTTGCTTATTATATTAACTTATCATATTCATCTCATGAAACTTTCGCATTATTTTAAATATTTATTTAATGTTGTTAATGCACTAAAAGATATTGAATGGTCGTATAATTTCAGCTGTTCGGATTAAATTTATATAAAGGAATCGTTTTAATGTGTGTATATGCATATATATATATTCTCGAATGAGCGATTATATAATATATAATCGGTTTGTGTTCCCGTCGGTGATCGTTGTTCGGAGGTTTGTCTGTACTAGACTATTTTTTACAGAATCATATTCTTCTAATGTTACAAACATATATGTTTATGTTGAGGCAGACAATTAAAATTTCCTTGGAAACATGTTTTTATGGTAAAGACACATTCGATTTCAGAAAGATCTTTTAAATCCTTCAACCGCACAACCCTCTTATAGTAAATACACCCTGTTGTATTGTGAAGTGAATATTGGAGAAAAACTGCCCTTGAATTTTTTCGAAGTTAAATTAAAATAATTGTTATAGAAGCGTGAAAATGGCGCCACGGTGTCTCTCTGCTTCATATTTATTTATATAAGCAGCAGAAAAAGAAAAAATGAAGAAGTAAATCATATTGACTTGAATTTCTGAGTAAACGTGGAAAATTCCATTTACGTCATGTATTTTGAAGGAAAATTACTCTAATTCATTTACATTTGCAATATAAGTCAAATATAAAGCTGTAAACTAGTACGAATGACAACGAAAACTTTTATGATGAGGAATATAAAGTGAAAATTGTATAATTTATGTTTCTCGTTATTTAATTCAAAATTCTCTATTAAAATTTCATCCGTGTTTCGTTGTCAGCAGAGAATTTCAGTAATAATAATTATAATGAAAATGCAGAATAATTTTTTCTAAGAACGAGCTATTTATATTTTGACTTAATTATTCCAAATGGCCCACCAGTGATCGAATGGCTAAAACTACTGAATGCTTGTAGTTAGTCATTGGTTCGCACCTCATCAATGGGCTGGCTGCGTTGAATTTTCCAAGTTTTCTTCTCACGTCTAATTTTTAAATAGGTGTTTCCCATCGAAAGTCCTACCAGAAGACACATCCATTGGCAGATCGTCTACGTGTTGCGTTGCTTTATCCCATTAATCTAATCCAATCCAGTCTTCCAAATGATGAATCGTATTAAATAATATTTTATTGTAAAATTAGCAATTAAAAATAAAAGAAACATTATAAAATATTAGGGTAATGCAAACCTAGAATTTTCTAGAGTATTATAGTACAATATTAATTTCAAAATCAAAACAGTATATTCAAGAAAGTAACTGCCATTACACTCAACCACCATCTTCCATCGATTGGGCAGGTCACGGATTCCTGCTGACTAAAACTCAAGCTGTCTTAACTCGAAGAAATCTACAAGTGCCATTTTCATCTCCTCATCATCAGCAAACTGCTTTCCATCCAAGAAATGTTGCATGTAGCGGAAGAGATGGTAGTCGAATGATTTAATGTCTGGGCTATACGGGGGGTGAGGAGAATTTCCCAGCCAAGATCGAGCAGTTTCTGTCAGGTTAATATTGACTCGTGTGGTCTTGCAATGTCATGAAAAAAGCGCACAATGTTCATCTGTGGACGAACTACGGTGGATTGGTCACAACCAAATAACTTGCTTATTTCTCGCGTGGTCAGATATGGGTTGGCTTGCACTAGCTGTCGCAGCTCGTCATCCAATATGATGGAAGGCCTTCCTGAGCGTAACCAATCTTCTACTTCATATTCCTCAGCTTTAAATTTACTAAACCAATCTCAGATTATAGACTTAGAGACGACATTCTTGCCGAACGCTTACACTATACGGCAATAAGATTCAGCTGCTTTTATACCAAATTGATAATCGTAAAGATTATCAATTTGGTATAAATGCAACTGAATCAAGAGCTCGTGTGAATTTGATCATGAGAAAGTGTTGGCAAACTTGAAATATTTGAAAAGATGCCATCTAGAAGGTTCGTGTGGNTATATATATATATTTAACTTATTAATAAAATGTTTAAAATTTAATTAATAGAATGACTTACTTATTTATCTAATTTGTAATCTAAACTAATATTACAATGAATAATAACCTTGAAATTTATATATTTTTTTATTTTTATGAGAAGCTAGATATGTGTATAACTGAGAGAATAAGTTTTTAATAACCTACAGACTTTTAAATATTTTTTATAAGTTACAGAATTAAATTTTAAAGATAAAATACTTCTTCTTGCTTGAGAAAAACTCATTTAATTAATTAGTTTATTATTTATTTATTTGGTGGAGGGGAGAAGCACAAAATTGCTATATAAAACTTATCAAACAGGAACACTTTGATGAACAAAGAGAGAACAAGAAGTAACCAAGTACTAATTATTTAATTTATTTATATAGATTATATGTATAGTTTAATAATAAATAAAACCTGCTTATTTTGCCTTTTAAGCTACTCTTTCTATAACTGTTAATAAGTAACACAATTTTTATCTATATATGTTGTTTATATATGTAAAAAGTTGTATAAAATATATTGTTTATTATATTAAATATAGATCGTAATGTTTACTATTTATAAAAGAATAAAGAACAGAAAATCAGTCCTGAAATATTGTTTTAATTTTAGCAAACCAAAAATTACATTTAAACCTTATAATTGACACGATAACATTTAAAAAATTCAGACCATTGCAAATAAATAAGTGTTCATTTAGAAAAGAAAATCCGGATAGGAAATTAGGTCTTTGTTTTCTGTCTTTGGGTGGGTTTAGTTTTTCGTAATAGGCCTACTTGATCTGTACTTTAGATAATTATTTATTTGTTATATTTAAATTCTTTTTTTTGTGGAATAAAAAATTTAAAATCTATTTCTTCATATTTATTTTAATTAATATTCTTTAGAAGCAAAAAGTAGCTCCATTTAGTATAGGAGATCATAACAAAATATCGACTATTATGTGTTAATTTTTTTTTGTTTTAACTTGTCCTAAATTACAGTTAAAATATTTGTCGTGTTTTATTTTTTGCCTGAAAGTTTTAATTTTTTCTTTTATTATTATTATTATTATGTAAATTTAGATCACTAGAAAATGAGGAATGAGGTTTAAAAATAATCAGTGATAAATATTATTTCAGAGAATATTTTATACCACAAATTGCTAAAATTATTCAATATTATTTAGACAGTAGTGGTTTTTTTTTGGACTAGACTTTGATAAATTTTACATTATTAAATTAAGAATAAGTTAAATATAATAACTTAAACTTCTGTATAAATAAATTGATGTTTTATTTTGTATTATTTATTTTAAAAATCATCGCTTCCTGCAAATAAATCTATTTATTTACGGAAACAATCTTCATGTTCTTAGATGCTATTGATAAAACGAATTACTTAGCTTATAACTTACAAAGTTCGGAATAATCTTGGGGAATAATTGGTGAAAAATTTTAATATTCTTACTTCTTTAATAATCTCAAATTCTTCTTTGCAAATCGACTATATCCCATTATACTCAGAGTTTTACCGGTTTTCCCGGTTTTCTTCACGTTAGTAAGACCTAAATAGGGGCCAATTTCCCATAAAAGACCTCCGAGAGGCATCCCCTCAGAAGAGCTCCCACGTGTTGCTTTGCTCTAACCAAATAAACCAAACGAATAGTTATGCCAATTTTGCTGCCAGAAAGGGCACAGTTTTACGTAGTAAAAGTGGATATTAACTCAAAATTCGTGGTTGTTTTTTTAATTGTGTCAGTATTGCAGCTCATTAACTATATTATTTCGATTCTTTACAATTATTAAAATACTAGCAGGTGGGCCCGGCGTTGCTCGGGCAAAAGTAACGATAACTAAGATAAAGATTATTACGTTACAGTCAACCTTACCCGTTTTCACAGAATGCAAGAATTGGGTCCCCTTATTTCCAGACTAATTAGAGAATTTTTAGATGGGTCTAAAAATATGTTCGATTTCCTGCAAAAACGAAAAAAACTGCATCTGCGTATTGCACGTCGCTTTCTCTTAACAATTCCATTGTTACGTAACA